CCCCCCCCCCCCCCCTCTCTCGGCGGGCCGGGCCCACAGGAGAACAACCGAGGGCTCGGGAGCGATCTATCAGAAGGGCCGTGCGAGCACAGAGGACCAAGTGCCACCGCTTGGTGAGTGCCAACCTATGGCGGCCTGTGAGAACGTCGCCGGGGCATTTTGTCACCGGCGCCAGATCGCCGCCCTCCCTGGACGGGGCCAACTCCTGGCTGGGAGGACACAGGGCCGGGGGGTGGGGGGTGGGGGGGACATTTCCCGGGACCCTTCCCGGGCTGGCATTCTCGTGCGGGCGACCCCTCGATGGGCTCTCTGGTCCGTTCGCGTGCTTTGTCAGTTTCTCCTCTTGGCACAACCCTCTCGCGGGCTGCGCGCGAGAGTGGGAAGCTAACTTCCGCCTTGGCGGGGCTCGCGATTTTCTCCGGACGAGGCGCAGGCTTCTACTCTCCTGCCCAGACGGATGGTGTCCCCCCCCCCCCCCTTCCCCCCAGGACCGCGGGCGATGCGTGCCCGGTGACGGGCTACGGGCGGAGCGGGCGGCCGATCCCCCGCCCAGAGCCCGGCAGCAGCAGCCGCCGGAATGGCGGCGAAGTGCCCCCTTTCTCTCCGCTGACACCACCCCTTAACTAGATGCTACCGTCCCCGTACATTGGGCAGAGGAAGCTGCCGTCCCCCAAGCCCAGGGGGGCAGCGGGAGCAATGGAGGAGGAGGCGGAGAGCTCCCTTGCCGACTCTCCATGGACCCCGCCCCGGACGAGGCGCGGATCCCCGCGCGCCGGCGTCCTTCGGCCCCTTGCCGGGAGGTCCCCAGCCCGAGATGCCCCAATCGGCGAGGCACATTGAAGCGCGCGTGGGCGGCCCCCAAGGCCGCGAGCGCCGGCCACCCGACCCCACAGCCCTCCACTCACTGCTCCTGTCTTTCGTCCTGCCCACCGCGCGCCCAAGCCCCCCTGTACCCCCCTCCCTCTCCGCACACACACACACACACATCCATCCATTCATCCACCCATCCACCCTCTCTCCTTTCCCAGCTCGCCGACTCACTTCCAGCGCGTCGCCTCTTCCCTCGGCCAATCCCAGCGGTGAGGACGGCCCCATCCTCTTCAAAGCGCTTGCCCCTCTGCTTGCCTCTTTCTCGCCGCGCCTCGCCCTCCTCGCGTGCATTGCAAGATGAACATCTTCCGACTGCTGGCCGATATGGCCCACTTGCTGGCGATATGCTTGCTGATTCTGAAGATCGTCAAGTCCAAGTCGGTGGCTGGCCTGTCGCTGAAGAGCCAGCTGCTCTTCCTGCTGACATACAGCTGCCGGTACCTGGACCTGTTTTGGCGGTTCATCAGTGTCTACAACACGGTCATGAAGGTCACCTTCATCGCACTGACCGGATGGACGTGCTACCTGATCGGGTGCGCTTTGTGGCGGTCGATCGCCGACCGGTTTGCCGGGGTGGCCCGCGCTCGCGCAGGCACCCGTGCCCCCCCCTCTGCCTGCCACTCCCTCCGCCTCGGGCCTGTGCCCCATGTCGGTGACTGACCCGCTTCCATGTGTAACCACAGCCGCAAGCACAAGGCCACGTATGACCGCGAGTTGGACTACTTCCCGGTGCTGATGGCCCTCGTGCCGTCGGCCGTCCTTGCACTCATCTTCAACTACGAGTTCTCTCTATCGGAGGTGCGCAGCCGGAGGGCGCTACTTGCCACCGTGCACATGCCGGCGCTCTCGGGGCGCAAGAGAAACCCCATGCTGACCCTTGGCGCTTGGTGTCTCCCCATCCTTCTATCTGCCCCCCTCCCTTTCAACATGCATACATATATATATATGTATATGCATACGTACACACTCGCCCGCCCGCCCGCCTCCTCGCCTTCCCCGGTCCAAACTAGATTCTCTGGACCTTCAGTATCTATCTCGAGTCGGTGGCCATCCTGCCCCAGCTGTTCCAGCTCCAGCGCATCACCTCCTCCACCCCGGAGGCCATTGCCACCATCACCCCGCACTACCTCTGCGCGCTCGGAGCCTATCGCGCTCTGTATTTGGTCAACTGGCTGGTGCGCTACATGTCCGAGGGGTACTGGGACCCGATCGCCACCTGCGCCGGGCTCATTCAAACCGTCCTGTATGCGGACTTCTTCTACATCTACGTCACGCGGTGCGTTTGCTCGCTCGCGCGCACGCATGTGCTCACATCCTGGCGCCAGTGGCCATAGGGCCTCGCTTTTTCTTCGCACACACGAACTGACTTCCGACCTGACCCTCAACCGAACCATCCGCCCGGGCGCCTCTGTGCATGCTGGGCCCTGTGACTGGGGACCTCTCCTTCCTCCTCGCCCCTCCCCCCCCCCAGTGTGCTCAAGGGCAAGCGCTTTGCCCTGCCCAACTGAGGCTGGAAACCTCCTTGTACCCCTGCCCCCCAACACCGTCGCCGATATTGTCCCTCTCTTGCGTGTGTCTGTGTCTATGCGTGCGCGTGTGCTATCCCTCCGTGTGTGTGTGTGTGTGTGTGGCCAAGTCAAGATCGTGCCTGCGGCCGGCCGAAGAGAGGGCAAGGAGAGAGTGTCCACAGGCAGCGGAGAAGTAGATTGTGAGAGGAAAAGCACACCCGCGGGCGGCCCAGCACCGGGGCCCCCCCCCCCCCCCCCTCTCCCTGCAAATACATGCTAGCTCCTCGGGCCTTTGTTCTGTCCTCTTCGCCCCCATTCCCCCCTCCCCCTGCCCGGCGTCTAGTCTTCTCGGCCGTCGGTATGATCCGGGGATCACGTGCGATCCTGTTCGCCCCTCGGGGCGTCTCGCATGAAAGCGGCCGGCCTGTGCACGCCTTTCCCCGGGCGCAGGCCCAGACGCGCAACGGGCACATCAGCCACCAATCGGGGCGGGCATGGGGGGGGGGGGGGGGCATGCTAGCCAGCTGTGTGTGTCTACGCGACAGAGCACGCCCGGAGGACGCCTGCCCGCGCCGCACCTCGCTCGGCCGCGCGCCGAGCCGGCCGGGCGTCCGCCGGCGCTCCGGTGTTTGACAGGTTCCCCGGCGGAGGGGGCTGGCTTCGGCATGCATGCGGGAGCGCACACATTATTCACACACACACACACACACACATGTGCACACATGTACATGCACGCGAAAGTGGGCGAGACATGTCGGCATCGGCGTTCGGGCCGGACCTTCCAGCAGCTTCGAGCCGCCGGACGGCCTTGGATGAGTCGGGTCCATGAGTCTGAGCCTGCACGCATGCACAGGCGGGGCGCATGTGTCTGCGGTGGTCCTCCCCCCCCAGGCCCCCCCCCCCCCCCCCCCCCGCTCTCCCGGTCATGAAATAAACAGGAATAAATAACGGCCACCAGATACTTTTATATTTGTCCGGCGAGCCAGCCCCCTTGAAGCTGGACCGTACATATTCGTGACGAGAGAGTTTCGCGCAGGGGAGACTCGCAAACGCGGGAGAACAGGCCGGGGGAGGGGGGCGGAGGGGACTGATCTCTTGCCCGCTGTTCTGGGACCCCCGCCTTCGCCCGTCGCCCCCCCGCCCGCGTCGCCCCCCGTGTTCAGTCAAGAAACTGGCTCGGGTCTGGGAGAGCGCCGCCAGCGCAGATGACCCGCTCTGGGAGTGTGTGTGTGTGTGCTCGAAGGCTCGGGCACCCGCCGGAGTCGGGGGCCCGGCCCGGCGCGGGCGCCACCTCCGCACGTCTGCCTGGACCCCGGAAAGCAGGGAAACATGGCCCTAGTCTCCGCCCACCCTCGCCCGAGCCCCCCCCCCCCGCGGTCGGGCCGGCTGAGTCAGCTCACGCCGCGGCTCGCCCTCCCCCGGGGCGTGGTTCCCTCTGGCGGCCCCCCCCCCCCCCCACTCCGTGTGTGTGTGTGTGCGTACGTACGTGCCCAGGCGTGCTGGAGGCGCCAGGCACCCCACCCCCGTACCTCGAGCCGCCCCCGCGGGGACTAGCGAACTTCGGCCCTCCGGGCCCTCGCTGCCTCTCTGCCTCTCTCTCTCTCTCTCTCCCCCTGCCGCGGAGTGATGAGTTCTCCCTGCCCCTCCTCCAGTGAACTGGTGCATTATTTCCCGAGCAGCCTATTACCGGTCGCCACCCGGAGGGGCGCGCGCGCGTGTGCGTCCCGGGGTGGGGCGGGGGCCGGGGGCGGGGGCGGGGGAGCAAGGCGAAGGGCCCTTCTTCTCAGGTATGGGGAGAGAGATACCCAGGCCCGGGAGCCGCCGGGGCGGGGGGAGAGGGGGCCCTACGAGCGCCCCCCCCCCCCCCCCCTCCCGGCGCCCGGGGCGACCGTGTCGCCCAGGGGGGGGGCACTCCCCGCCGGCCGAGTGCCTGGCCCGGGGCCGGGGGCGGCCTTTTTCAGGGCTCAGCCCGACCCCCGGGGCACGGCCCCCAAGTCCCTCCCCTCGTCTCTCCTCTCGCCTCCTTTCGTTCGGTCCCCCCGCCCGATCGCATCGACTTGTCGGATAGTCGCAGCGCCGCCATGGGTCTCTTCTCCGCCCTCGCCTTCGTCACCTTCTTCTCGGGCTTCATGCTCACCTCTCTCTCGCTGGTGGTCTATATCGTTCGCCAGAGTACGTGTCTCACGCGCACGCGCTCCTCCCCTCCGCCTCATGAACGCGCCTGACCGCGCCCTCGCCTTGCCCTGTTCCTTCGTCTGCGCCTTGCACTTGCTGACCTCGACCGCGCGCTCCTTGCTCTGCCTCCGGCTCCCAGACTTCATCGCCCTCCATGTGATCCCCTGCCTCCTGTCTACCTTCCACATCAGTACGCGCCCCACTGCCCCACGCTCACGCTGGCCGCTTTTCCGCGCGCGCGCCCCCCCCCCCCCCTTCTGCAGATGATACTCACCACCCGCTCGTCCTTTCGCTGCTGCCGCCGCTGCCCCTCCCGTCCTCTCCCTCCCGTCCCCTCCCTCCCGTCCCCTCCCTCCCCACAGAGGAGGAGACCATCCCCATTCTGGTCCTCGGCCTTGCCTGGGGCCTGACTCTGGCCACCTTCCTTTCTTGCAAGATTTTCACCTTCCTCTGCAACCAGCCCATCAGCAGCAGCGCCCCCCGCGCCATCAAGCTCAAGCATAACACCGTGGCCTTCCGCCTGCAGTGTGCGTATTGTTGCTTCCCTGTCTCCCTCAGCCCCTCCTCGCCGCGCCCCTGCCATCACACTGACATGGCTGGTCCCCCCTCCTTTCGCCCACTCGCGTGTGTCTTGTCTTCATTCGTCTGTCATTCTTTCTTCCTCTCTCTCTCTCTCTCCCGCCCCGGTGTCACACACGCACACGCAGCCGCCCACGAGAACGCCCTCGAGGCTCTCCCCGCTCTGACTGCTGCCATTGTCGCCAGCGGCCTCGCCGGTGTTGATGCCCACGTCCGCAACACGTACGCCCCCCTCGCCAATCCTCGGGCCATGCGTCTAGACCCCTGCACAGATACATACACGCACACGCACACGCACACGCATTTCCATACTCACTCCCCCCCCCCTCGTCCCTCCCCCCTACACATGCATATGCCCCCCAATAGCCTCCTGGTTCTGTTCATCCTCCTCCGCGTCTCCCACTGGATCAGCTACGGCATGAACATCTTCGCCATCCGCGGCTTCTCCTACATGATGGGCAACGCTTGCCTCTTCCTGCTGTTCGCCATGTCCATCTCCCCGAGCTGCACTCAGAACCTCATCGCCACCCTCAACTCGACTGTCGTCACCTACGTCGATGTTGCGGCCACCGCCATCGCCACCCACTCCCGCCCTCTGGCTTCCAAGGTCATCACCGCGGCCAAGCCCGTCGTCGACCAGGCCGTCGCCTACGTCCGCCCCTTCGTCGACCAGGCCGCCGAGGCCCTGTCCGGCAAGGCCTAAATGCGCGTTTCCATGACGCCCCCCCCCATCTGCCGCGGGTGTGCGCGAACGCGCGCTTGAGAGTGATCCCGGCGGGATACGGGCCGGGGACCGGGGCCGAGGCCTTGTAGAGCGCACGGCACGCCGCCGCTCTTTCCCCCTCTCTCGCTCTCCTTGCTCTCCTCGCGGCCCCTCCCCCTCCTGTCATTGCACCGAGGGCTGGAGCTTCAGAAGCAGGGGGCCAGCAGCGAGGAGGGGGCGGCGGTGTCCTTCCCCTTCTTCGCGCCTCTCCCCTCAACAAAAGGGTGGTCGCTCCGCGAGCGAGCATGTGCCACCTTTGTCCCCCCTCCCCCATGCGTGTGTTGCTTGCCGCGCCTCTCCACCCCCTCCACCAACCGTCAGCGGGGGGGAGGCCGGCGCTCACACGCGGCGCCTCGCACCTCCGATGTACGCGTGTAGTCTGCTCGCGTGCGCGGTGCGGCCCCCCCCCCCCCCTCCCCATCATCCCGACGCAAGTATTTGCGTCCGTCTGTCTACACATGCCGTTCCCCCGGGGAAAAATACACACCTCTCTCTCTCTCTCTTTCCCTTTTCTCTTGCCCTTCCTTTCTGTGCAACATGTGGCGGGGTCTTTTTTTTGTGCGCCCTCGATGCATGTGAAATTCCCCCCCGGCGAAAAGAGGCGATGCCTCTGCAGACATGCACCACACAGGCACACACGTTCGGATGTGCGCATATCCCCCAGAGGCGCGTGGGGGGAGGGCCTTGTACAAACATGCCGACGAGCGGAATGGCGCTCTCCTCAGGGTCCCCACCCCCCTCGCCCGGCTGGAGGCACACTCGGTTCTGGCAGAAGCAAACAGCCCGTGGCGAGCAACCCTTGCCCCCCCCCCCCCCCCTCCAGCGCTGCCTTTCCCGCCTCCTGGTCCGCGTGTGTGTTCTTGGTGGCCAGCTGGTCTTTTGGGTCTGGCTCATTTCCTGCCCCTTCTTGATCCCGGCTTCTCCCTCGCGCCCGGGGGCCGATCATTGCCCGACGAGCACCTGTTCGGCCTGTGGCCGCGCGAGCGAGCCGGCCCTCGCCCCGAGGCGCCGGGGCATAATCATGCGATGCCCCCGCCATCACGCGAGGACCTATGCGTAACTGAAACACATCACGCCCCGACAGTGGCCCTATGAAACAGTGGCACCCCTTGGGGGCCAGGATACCAACGCATCGATCGGCCCTCGGAGTAGGGGGCCCCTGGAGGGCCCGAGTTTCTATTCCGCCCCGGCTGGTGAGAACCGTGGGCGACGTCGGGGGGGGGGGGGGAGACGTAGGAGAGCATGTGGGAGCCGGGTAGGGCCAGTGGTGGGGTTAGTGCTACTCATTCCTGCGCCGCTTGGGGGCAACGGGCGGGCGGGCAAGACGCGCCGGCCCAAGCCCGGGGGCAAGAGAACGCAGGCCGCACTCCCCCGTACTCCGGCGTGCGCCGCCGTGCCGAGGCTTGTGTGCTGCGGCGCAGGATAGCGCAAGGTTGATCGCCGCGGCACACGGGTTGGTGGTGTGCAGTGTGTGGGAGGGATAAACGCACGGTTGCCCGGGGGGGGGAGGGGGGCGGTATGGCGGTTGCCATTCCCAGACCGGGGAGGGGGGGCGCCTCTGCACGTGTGGCGGCTGGCACCGACTGACCGCCTGGGCCGGGCCTCTTTCCCGGTAGCATTGCTGGGTATTCGCGAAAGCGCCTCCCCGAGCGGCGGGG